TTTATGTAAGTAACCTCATAATAACTATAAATAATGTTGTGAACAATCACATAAGTACATAATTGATAATTGTATTTTAGTAATGTAATCGTTTTATTTCTCATAAAGATTTATACTCGCCAAACTTTATACAGTATTAACTTAATAGTAAATATAATATTATTATTTTTAACTTATATAATTTTCAATATATACACTTGAAGAGTACCGATGGCGTCATAGATCGAAAATTTCTATTTTTTTGTGGTATTCTGTAACTCTTATTGACAAAATAAGTATTCTTATAGATTTTATTTTTGCATGGTTGTTTATATTTTTAAACTTTTAAATCGAGTTTTCTATAACCTTTCTAACTTTTGTTTTTCCAATTTATATATCTTTTTTTTTCTCATTCGTCTTTTTATTTACTTTAATTGAGATTTTTTCTATATGTATTATTTGTTTATTTTATGGCTTATGTCATGTCTATATTTCATCTTAAACTTTTTTTTTATTATTATTGATAATATTAAAAATTTTACTTTTTATGATTTGATTAGTAACTTGACAATCACTTTCTATTTTAAATTTTATTTTTCTTAATTAATTTTAAGTTTTAACACATTATTCATCTTATCAATATTAGATACATGTCACGATCTCGTGAGTTATAATTTTGCTTACGTGTCATTCTGATATAAAAACGCATTGCGGTAAATATTTTTATTTTAATATTTATAACGCCTATAATTTGAAAAATATAATTAGATTCTAAATTACTACTCGTACAAATATTTAATATTTATTTTCTTATTATATTTTATTAAATAGTTAATTTATTATATTTATCTCATACTAAAATTGTCTCATATACGTTATTATATTAGCAAAATCACACTTATAAATATGACATATTATTTTATCTTTAACTATTTAGATAATTTATAATAGAAACAATGTATTTTGTTATATAAAAATTTAGAAATATTACATATTTTAGTAGAACGGTTATTTTCTTTTTGGGGCAATTACAAAAAATGCCACTTTTTGTGTGTACATTTGTAAAAATACTACTTAGGGGTGTCCATTTACAAAAATGCCACTAATTATAGATTTATAAAGCCTATATCTTAAAATTCTAAACCCTAAAAAATGTTTTGACACCTAAAATCTCCTAAATACTCAAAACTAAACCCTAATAGAACATAATTAACCCAAACATAAATAATATAAAGAAAAAATAATTTTGAAAAGTGGCATTTTTGTAAAGATTTCAAAAGTGTGGCATTTTTGTAAAGTGGCACTGGAAAAGTGGCATTTTTTGAAATTTCTCTTTCTTTTTTCTTAATTAGTTCATAATCCTTGTTTAGAATATATTCTTTATTTTCTTTTCAATTTTTTTTATTAATATTGGAAATATAACAAGATTTAGTAGAACGATTTTTGTCATTTTTCTTAATTAGTCCATAATCCTTGTTTAAAATATATTTTTTTTTTAAATATTTTTGTTAATATTGACATATGTCACAATCTAAATTAACATTACACATGTCACGATCTAGTGCTTAAGAATTTTGCCTACGTGTCAAACTCTCATCTTGCGCATTCTCCTTTATATAATAAGATAATATCTTTAAATATACAAAATAATATGTATTGTGCATTTATGTAATAAAATTGAATATTTTTGATAAAACATATGTTTGTCATTAATTTTAGTCATTAATTTTAGTATTTAATATGTAAAATTAATCAAAACATATGCGAATGTTATTTATTTTGTAGAAGTCTACGACCAAGAGCAATTCAATTAAAAAAAAACTTCACTCAAAACCCATTACCAAAATCAGAGTCCCCCCTCCCCCTCTCCCTCCCACTTCCTTAAGTTGACAATATCCAGAAATTTGACAGAGTTCGTACCGAACCGGAATCCAAAAGAGTTCATTTGCTTCGTAATCCGAGTGAGTGTGGGTGCTTGGCCAGTTTGGAAGACACCAAACTTATATACATGTCTCATAGTTTATATGAGATTAACTCCAAATTCTGGAAGGCTAAAGAAACGGATTTAATCTTAAAAATATGCAATCTTCTCACGATTTTTTTTTTGTCTTCTCATTCCTCAGTCCTACGAGACAAGGGTACACACAAGATTTTCATATCCGCGTTAGGTAAAAAAAACCCATCTTTTCAGTTGAAACTACACAAGTTAAACCCAACAGTACGAGTGCGGCCTATCCCTCCTAGAGCTCGAACCAGAAAAGAAAACGACCATACATAGCACACAGAGGTTGCAAGACAAAGGTCGTGGAATTTTTAGCAAAGAAGGAACCGTTAGTAAAGAGGCCGACTGAGCGTGAAGTAAGGCCGAGCTGCACATGGAAACGGAGATCATAGAGTCCATCTGAATCAAACACCCGTATAGAAAGAAGAGGTCTCGCAATTGAGAAGGGCTCCGTATTTTCCAACAATTCACTAGCTCTCGTTTACTTACTATTCACACCTTTTTCTACTCAGCGTTTGTACCAGAGTTCTTTAACATCAATTGAAACATTGCAGTAGCTCTTTTCCGATTCGTCGAGTTCCACAAATTCGAGAAATTACGTAATGCAAATACCCGCATCCACAGTTTATATTCAGTTCATCCCACAAAAACAGCCAATGGAAAAGCACAAAACTCTAAATTGAGAAAGAAAAAGGGCAAATCCATAACAGAGACTGACCAATTTCATGTGATTCTTCTACACAGATCTGTCACACATATTTGGTTTCAAGTAAGATAGTGAAAATCGAGTGAAAAAATCCCAAATCTGACATGAGTAATAGAAACACCAACTTATTCCATAGACAATTTGGTTATTAGGTTTTGGCTTAGTGAAACACATTGCAATATCCATCGTTGTTGAATCGAATCGTTCTATCAAACGACCAGATCATACACGAAAAACGATTGGTACATACCAGAAATCAGAAACACAACACACAGATCCTCATAGTTACATATAATATCATTCAGATCAGAAGAAAGGATTTTGATCTAGGAGACAACGCGGCCAACGACGGGATACTTACCTTCAAATTTGGTCTCCCAGTCGTTAAGAGTGTTGATCTCTTTCTCTGAGAGACCTTCAAGGGAAGGAGATACGTCTTCTTCGTTTTTGCTCATCTTTCCAAGGGCTCTGCTCGCGTCTTTTCCGGCGAACATCGCGTAATCGCCTCCGGGACCGTAGAAGGATTTTCCGGTGGTGACGTCGAATACGCGGCCTTTGATTGCGACGTAGATCGGCTTCGATTCGTCGGTGCCGTTGTACTGGCTCAGCTGCTCTGCGGTAAACTCCATTTTTTCTCACGATCTAATCGATTTTTCCTGGAAACAAACCAAATAAAGGAAGGAGGAAGAGAGATAATAATGGGGAATATATATATACTCTTTAGTGGAATAACATTTTTATTCGGCTGACTATCATTTATATTTTAAAAAATAACTCGATGGTTCATCCACACACCATATGATAAATTTATAAGAGAATAAAATTAATTTAGTATTTAATAATGTGATCTATCATTTATAATAAAAAAATGTATATGTTTTAAATTTTTAATCTTATATGCATATAAGAGAGTAATATGCATAAGATAATATTTTAATATTTTGAATGTTATTTTAATTTTTGATTTGTATTCATGTTGAAATAAAACGCAAATAATGAAAAATAATATGTAAATTTTCTTAATTAGTAAAATAATGTTTTAATATATTAGAAAAGTTATATATGGCAAAAAGTATAGAAGACCAACAAAAATAATATGTTTTTTCTTCTTTATTGGTGATTCATCTGATTTTG